TTTTAAATTGGAGATCCTTTATACATAAGGTTTTACACAAAATAAATAAATAAATAAATAAAATAAAAAATAAAAAAAAATAAAAATTATATGAATGCGAATTTTACATTAAAATTAGACAATAAACACATAAAATATATTAAGGTTAAAAACACACAAAGCAAAAAATCGGGTTTGGTGCTTTATAAAGAGCATAATTCAATTAATATTAAAAAATTTAAAAACATTCAACACAACTTAGCCATAAAAATTAAAATTCAACTTCATATTAATGTAATGTTCTATTTGTTTCAACATAAAATATTTTTTTAAGGTAAAATATTTTATTTATTTTTACTTTCTATAAAGATCTAGGTAGTCTATTGGGCGGCCCGTATAAAAAAATAACTTGTCAAAATTTGATATATAAGTTATTTTTATTAAATTTTTAATATTTTTTTATACCTATATATATTACAACAACCAAATACCAAATATATATATATATATTTAACATCCAAACAAATAAAGCCTAAAACAAAAATAATTTTTTGTGATCATACTTCCGCAATTCATAATCTGTGACACTTTTTACTCAATCCGTGATAGGTAGATGCCCTTCATGAGTCATGGGGGGGCGAATACCCAAATTAATATTAAAAACCAAAAAAAAACAGTGATAGCTCAAAAAGTAGTATTGAGTCAAACTCAGTTCGATTCGATTGTATATATAGTCCTATTAAGTTGAGTTACTTATTCAAATGTCCGTTTTTTGTATGTTCATAAATATTATCATAGGTATTTACCTTTTTTATAAAATAAATAAAATTATGAACTTTGTCTTCGTTTTTTTTTTATAGTTAATATTCATATATATATATATATATATATATATATGTACCTGAAACTCGAACCGGACATACTTTCAAGAAATAAGAAGCTGATACACCACTCGTCCGTCGCTAATTGTGAACTTTGTCACAGCTTACTCCACCATTCGTAGCACTAGTACTACGTGTCCAAACATAAGAGAAGAGAACATGGCCGACAGGTTGTGGGCCGTTGGTAGGAGTAGACTAACGGACATATAACCTATAGTCCAAATAATATCTTTTCGCAAATTTACGTCAAGATTGGATTAGATTCTGCAATTCAGGACACGTGTATGGTCGATAAGACCACATGTGTCAAGTAGGTTGTACACGTAAAGGTAATACATTACTTACTATCCCATACTCAATTTTTCCATTTAGCAATTAACTTAAAGATTAAATTACAAGTATAACCTTGGAGTTTTGATTTTTTTTTTTTTTTTGTTTTGATATTTAAATAAAGGGTATAATCTAACCTTGAAGTTTCTCAAAAGGACACTCAAATAAAAATTACCTATTTTTAAGATAATAACACCCCTTAAAGATTGAAAAATAGACAAAAACACCCCTTGAAGCCAACTATATGAAAAATTGATCAAATTACCCTTTGATCATTTAGTTGACCTTTTTAATTTTATAAGTTAATAAATCGGACGAAACTACCCCTTATGAACAAACAACCACAATGCTAGGAATATATATATATATATATATATATATATATATATATATATGAAACAGATCAATAAATTGGATGAATGTACTCATGTATGAATTAATAACAAAATTCTTGGTTAAAAAATAAAATAAATAAAATAAAAAATAAAAAATAACCATTTGTTTTCATTTTGCCACAATATCTCAAAATAACAAAATTGATAATCCACAATTTCTCAAATATAACAAAATTGCATATTTCTTTTGCTGCAAGAAATTGAAAATTTCTTACAAAAAGAAGAAGGTTTGACCGATCTAAAAGTGTGCCTATTGGTGCTACTTATATCTGTCAATGTTATTCAATTTTGCCTTAAAAACATTGTGAGAGATTATGGATGGGTTATTCAACCTTTGAATGATGTCTTTCAAGAGCTAATTGATGTTACTGGGTGTTACTTCGCTGCGTAGCCCATACTAGATTCTCTATTTTAGTTATTTTCCATTCTATTTTTATGGTAATAACAAAATTGATAACTCCCACTTGTTAAAAATAAAATAACATTAAATTAAAATTAAATAAAATTAAAATTAATTTCATTTTGCCACAATTTCTCAAAATAACAAAATTTTGGTTAAAAAAAGAAAAGAAAAAAGGAACAAAGAAAACCACATATTAGTAAAGAAAACATGAACAAAGAAAATCCCATATTTTCTTTACAATATTTTTTTTGTAAAGAAAATCCCATTTTAGTAAAGAAAACAGGAACGAATTTTTTGTTAAAAAAACCCATATTTTTCTTTTTTTTTTTTTTTTTTTTGTAAATTAATAGATATAGTAAATAAAACAGGAACAAAATTTTGGTAAAAAAAAATAGGTTTGATATTTTGCAATTCACATATTGTTAATCTGGCGCCAAGCGGCGTTAATTTGTGACCCTAAACTTTTAGGGGCAATTGCGTCATTTTGACATGTATGATATTTTGTAATAAATATGAATTTAATATTAAGGGGCAATTTTGTCTTTTCATATGATTTAAGGCCTTATTTAAATGGAATTTTTTCAAGAGAGTGTCATTGTCCCAAAAACAAATAACTTTCATTTAGGTGTCCTTTTGATAAACCTCACGGATGTTGTTATGAATCTTAAGAGCATCTCCAGCAGTATGTTAAAAATTTTTGTATAAATCTGATGTGTGAGAGTAGATTTACACAAAAAAATTTGCACTAACTATTTTTAGTTTTAGCGATTGTTTTATATCTTTTGTGTAAAAAAGTATTCCCCAATAACAACCAACCACGTGTCATACCTAATGCCTTATATAACTTTTACAAATATATTTTTTTGAGTTTACATTTTGACGATTAAACCTCACGTCTCAATCCTCCTCAATTAGGAAAAAAATAATAATTTCCCCTTATATTTCACTTTCCCATCCCGCCAATAGCAAACATTTCACGCCATAGCCACCGGAAACTTATAACAAATAATAAATAAAAAATATTCAAGTATGTAGAAACTACGTGATTAAAATATATATCTAATCTTTGGCTAGTACATATTTATCTCATTAGAATAGAATCTAAAAGGATAAAAAATCTAAAAAATCTAAAAAAACCTTAGAATTTACAGTATAATTGCAAAAGATAAAGATCAAACGAAAGTGATGAATCAAACTATGTTTATTAAAATATATATATAAATAAATAAAAGATGGTCAAGCAGTTCTTACCTCACCGCAGTTACAAATTCTTCTTTATTGCACCTAGAAAAGTGGAAAACAAAGAGGCGTAAAGGAATGAGAGAGAAAAAGAGAACCGTAAGTGAGAAGGGGGGATGAGAAAGAAAATATGCTTACGTAAAAGTGATATGTAAAATACACCACGCTTTTACACATTGGTAATGTGGCAGTGTATCTTAACTGACTGCTGGAGATAAAAAAAAATTACAAATCATATGTGGCAGTGTGTGTTTTATATATAAGAATTTAAAGAAAATATGCTTACGTAAAAGTGATGTGTAAAATACACCACGCTTTTACACATTGGTAATGTGGCAGTGTATCTTAACTGACTGCTGGAGATAAAAAAAAATTACAAATCATATGTGGCAGTGTATATTTTATATATAAGAATTTTTTAACAGACTATTGGAGATATTCTTATTTAACCAAATTTTTTCTATAAAATTTTCCATATAAGTTTCATTTATGATTGAAGGTGAAAACCATTTTTCAATTGTTCCACAAGACGATCCGTTCAAGAAAGGATCAAACATTTTAGGCAAATATTCTTGCCTGGTTTCGTCTTACACAATCTAGTATTTTTTATTTTTATTTTTATTTTTTTTCAAGTAGATTCAAAGAAGCCAAGATCTTTAAAATGAATTCCTAGTGTTTAACATTAAATAAAAATAAAAAATGAGTAAGATTTTTCATCTCATCATAAATTTTGGGTAAGGAATTTTGATTGACAAATACTTTCCTGACGTTTGGTAAAACATTATTTTTCCCCTATACATTTTAACTTATTAACAAAATGCCACATATTATTATTATAAGTGATTCTCGTAAATGAAAAAAATTAGTTATAAAAATCTTACAAGGAATTAGAAGATTTTTTTAAAGACTAAGAGAATTAATAATAATTGTTTACCCTTTCATGTTTAGCAGTGAACTTGGATGGTTAAAATCAATTCAATATTTCAACGTACAACCATTTTTTTATATATAATAATTATATAAAAATATCATCCTTAATCATTTTTAAAGATGACACCATATGTTGATTGCAAATCTAACTGTCCTTCAAAACTAATGAAATTTTTAGTAAGGAAAGGACAAAAGAGTAAGTTGAGAAGAAAAAGGAAACAAAGATGCAATTTATTTATTTTTTATTTTTTTCTATGTACCAAACATGTTCATGGAATAAATTTTATTTTTCCTTTGTCTGTTACCAACATGGACATATAAATAATATACTAATTTAGTATAAACTTATATTTTTAGATTATTATATATAAATAATTACAAACTTAGAAAGATTAACGTACAGCAACCACAATCATACATAACCGTGACAACCAAGAAACATTTAATTAGAAGCAAATTTGGTGTGTTCGTATTATTTTACTTTCTCACTCGTGTCAACTAGCTCCAGTTACGTGTGAACCAAGGAAAAGTCAACTACTCCTCACGCTCCATTATCGTTGGCCAATTACCAAACACTCTCTCTCTATGTATCTTTATATTTTTTTTTCTCTCTCTCTCTATATATATAGCCCCGGAGCCCTTTTCCTCAATCACTAACAGCTATTTATATTCTGAGTGGCTGAAACTAATCCCACACTCTCTCTCTCTCTCAGCCAAATTTCTCCTATTTCTCTCTCTCTCTCTAAGGATCACATACTAACAATCTCTCTACTTTCTCTGTCTAAGAAAAATCGGAAGGAAAGAGAAACAAAGTTGCCAGAGAAGATTGAAGAAGACCTGAAAATGCAGTGTAGTTCAGTTCTCTCACACTCTCCGAGTTTCAACACTTACTCTTCGAGAAAATTTGCAGAGTTCAGAGCCAAATCAGAGTCTGAAGTTGATGAATGTCAAGAAAGCAAAAAAGAAGAGGATGATTTTGAGTTCACTTTTGTTTGCAGGAAATTCGATTCGTCTCCGGCCGATGAGATCTTTTCCAACGGCCAGATTAGGCCCATTTTTCCAATCTTCAACAGAGACAACTCACTGTACCACCCACTGTTAGGTGATGTTGACAATGGGAATTCCGGTAACTCTAAGCCTCCGACTCGGTCCACTCGGTTTCCTCTGAGGAAACTTTTGACCGACGAGCACGATTCCTCGTCGTGTTCGTCGTCGGAGGCCGATGAGCTGGACGGAGCTCCACCGGGAACGTACTGTGTCTGGACCCCGAAAGTGGCAGCTGGGGCCGAGGGGTCGCCGGAGAGGTGGAAGAAGAGCAGTTCGATGGGAACGTTGAAACGGTGGAAGTTTCGAGACCTTCTCCGCCGGAGCAACAGCGACGGCAAGAACGCTTTCGTCTTTTTGACTACTTCGAATGTGAATGTGAATGGGAGTGAGAAGAAGAGGGACGAGAAGATTGTTGAGAAAGGCGCGAGGGAGGCGTATTCGAAGTTTGCTGGAAAAGTGACGGCGAAGAGAGTCGCCGGTGGAAAGGGTGGACTGGTGGCGGCCGCACACGAAGCTCATTACACGAAGAAGGGAGCCGTGAAGGAGGCAGATCGACGGCGGTCGTTCCTTCCCTACAGGGAAGATCTAGTTGGGTTCTTTGCTAACGTGAACGGGTTGAGCAGGAATCTCCACCCCTTCTAATAGCTTTGTTATTACGTACAAATACATATTATTAATGTATACAAATATTTATAAAAGTATAAATAACAAATTATGTTTTGTGTGGACATCAGTAATTGTGTGACAATATTTACCTATTCATTAATAAGTGTATAGTCTTTATTGATGAATGATGTGTTCCAACGAGAGATTAACACATCTTCTTAAACTGTAAAATTAGAAGAAAAAATAAATTAATAAATGGATACAGCCGAACAGCTTAGACATCTATCCTACGTTGGCATGGTAGTGTTGAATAAATCCATCCTACTATACATCTAGAAAATTTTGTGAGGGCCACTATTTAATTTGTGGAGATAAATTTATATAGTGAGTCTATTTTTATAATTTCAAAGTGGTTTAAAATTTATAATATAAAATGCAAAATAAATAAATAAATAAAAATTAAGTGGGTGTGAATTGTAATTTTAGTGGGGGCATTTTCATAAATTCTTAAAAATTGAAGCATAAAATGCCAAAAAAAAAAATTCAGTGGGGGCATCTTCATAAATTTAAAAAAATTTAAGGTATAAAATGAAAATATTAAAAATCCAGTAAGGGCATCCGTGCCTGTTCTTATCAGTCTCTGTCTTTCATTCTCCACAAGAAGGTATTAGACCAAGTTAGTGGTGTTACGAGGGCATTCCTTTGGACTGGTCATGATATGACGAGAACTAGTGCAAAAGTATCATGGTAAGGGGATTGCAGGCCCAAGGAATATGGTGGGTTGGGCTTTCCAGACCTTGCTAATAGAGTTATCAGGGACAAATCTAAGAAGTTTTGTGTGGTGGGGAGGGGGGAGGGGGAGATTTTAGGGGGAAACATAAATATTTCATAGGTATATAATTGGAAGAAAAAAAATAGCGGTATATAATGATAAAAAAACAAAGTATTTCAGATTATGGTCTTCATGGGTTCACAAGTATTTCATTAAAACAAAGTGCTTTCGGACTATTAAGCCTTCCTTTCTCAGTTTTGGATTTTGGAGAAGGCTATTGAAAATCAAGGACATGGCTAGGGGTCTCATAAGCAGGCACAGACCCAACATAGGACCAGTGATTTTTTATACTTTTAGTTTATACCTCAATTTTTTAAAAAAATTTGAAGATGCCCCCACTAAAATTATAATTTGCCCCCACTGGATTTTTTTTTTATTTTTTATTTTTATTTTTTTTAATACATTTTATACTTCAAATGTTTAAGAATTTATGAAGACAACTCCATTAAAATTACAATTCACTCCCACTATTATTATTATTATTATTATTATTATTATTATTATTTTGCATTTTGTACTTTAAATTTTTGAAAATTTAAGAAGAAAACTGATAAATGTTCAAATATTGCACATTTTAGCACCAAAATTAAGGTATTTTAGTCCTTTAATCTATTCGTATTTTCCTGTTTTAGTTCTAATTTGTGTTTTTATCGATTTCAGGTTAATAAGGTTCAAACGGGTTAATTTCGGTCCATTAAGGTCTTTTTGGAATCAAACTAAGTCTTAGTGAGAAGCTGGAGCAAAATGAGGCTGATGTTGAAAACTACTTGCTCTGAACGATTGAACCCTGAACGATCGAGATCTGAACAATCGAGCTCTGAACGATCGAACCTTTTGATCTTATCCTTATAACTACTTTTGTCCTTATCCCCATAAATATCTCAGCCTTTGTCCTTATCCACATTATGCGCCGACATGCTATGATCGATCGAACCACAGCTCTGATCGATCAAGCAAGCTCTGAACGATCAAACCATACCTGTGAATGATCGTGCTGAAAGTAGTTTTAATTTCAGTTCGGGCTTAAACGTTATAGACGAGGGGGCTATGGGTTTGGACCATTTTTGGGCATATTTCTGACTTATTTCGGACTCTTAGGGCCACATATAAAAGGCCAATTGAACCATTTGTAAAAGGGGGTTTCTATTTTTACATTGTAATTCATTGTAATAGTTAGTTTTTTCTCTCTAGAAAAGTTAGAGATTAGAGTTAGAAGAAAATGGGAAGTGGAGGCACAAGGTTTTAAAGAACATCTATAGACACTCTCTCTAAAGAGCTTCAAAGAAGAAGAAGATGATGATGATGCCATGCTTGGAGGAGGACCTTGTTGACACCTTGACCACCTCTACTACCATGGGCTAGATCTTCACTTAGGGCTTGGATGAGCCTTAAGTCTTGTGTAATCTAAACCCTTACATTTCTATTTTTGGGGATTTATATATATTATTGGGATTAGTGGTTAACCTTGTGATTATTAATTTAATTCTTCCTAGTGATTCTTTATTTTAATTATATATTGTATTATGTGTGATTATTTGGGAATTGATCTCTACATTAGATATTTTATGTTGGTTGCATGTCTATGTGTGATTAATTAAGGATTTAGTGATGGTTAATGACGAGGTTTTTGTGGCCGCTCGATACACGCCAAAATTGATGTAATGAATGTGCGGTTCAAGGAAAGCCTTTTGGGTCAAGTTTAAATTTATAAAAACCACTACCAACACTACTACTAACGTAGCAAGAGTGAGTAGGGATCGTCCCAAGGGATTGTGGGGATTGAGCAATGTCGGAGTTGATTATGGAATCGCAATTAGGGCTAGTAGGTCGAGTGATCAAACAATTAGTTGGTTGGTTGATTAAAGAGTAACTAAATTAAACTAAGTAATAGCAAAAGAGTGCAATTAAGAGTAAGTAAGAGAGAGAAGAGTCTTGGGGTTTAGAGATCACCACTAAGCAATGCATTTCTATATTATTGACAAGTGATTAATGAGGGCAATTAGGGTGTTGCAATATTGGTGTGTGTGTTTTTGGTTGATTCAACAAGTAAGGATGACTAGTTAAGTATGTATAGTCTAAACATCATGTGAAAGGCACAATATATCTAAGCAATGAAGCATATATTGTCTAAACAACATGCAAAAGGCACAATAAATCAAAACAAGTCATTAATCCTTTCATTAGGCTCACAATCCAAATACAACACAAGATTAGAGACATATGCTACTTGTATTCAAAAGCTTGAAACATTAAACAACAAGCATGGATTGTCCTCCCATTTAACACTACACTACAACTACACTACATCTACACTACTAGCATGAAAATAAACTAGGGGAGAGGCACAATCCATTAAGAGATAAGCATGAACCATCAAGAGAATCACAAAAACATTCTTTTAAGCACAATGTTTTGACAATCTCTAAATCTATAGCATCAATACACATAGACATGCATCAATAACACAAAATCTAGAGACAAGCACATGAACATCAATTCTAGCATACATAGACATATGAATAGAAAGAAATGATCAATTGGAAGCATTAAACCACACAAATCATTGATTAAATAAGATCTATATATATCAAAGTGTCAAAACATTAATTACAACAATAATCCCTCAATAATACACAAGATTAAGATATAGAAAGCATGCTTGGTGCTAACTCTAGCCCCAAGAGGATGTCTAGCCACTCATGGTGAGGATGCTCCAACCTTCAAGGGCTAACTCCATGGAAGAGGTTTGCTCCTTGTTGATGAAGATCTCCAATGGTGTTTCTAGCCTCCTTCTCCTCTAAACTTCCTCTCCAAGAAATGATATGAAAAATAATGTTGGCTCCCCTTGAAAAAGCAATCCTTATCCTTATATAGGTAGGTCAAAATGACACCCAAAATGAGCTGGGGTCGTGCACACAATATTCCCTAATGATTGGATAAAGGACAACTTTCAATGAGATGAAATTTTAACTTTTTCGCACTGGAGGAAGTTCGATCGATCGAAAGTAAGTGAGATCGATCTAACTTAGGCTGGATCGATCCAATTGGCTGAGCTTTTTGGAAAAAGACAAATCCGAGATATTTATGGGAAAAGGACAAAAGTGGTTAGTGGGTGGTACAGCTGTGGATAGGATCAATCATTTGAATAAGGACAAAAGTGTTCGATCGATCGAAGGATATTGTTGGATTGATCGAACTTTTGGAACTTTATGCTTTTGGGTCAAGGCTTGGATCTATCTCGAAGTGCTGAGATCGATCAATGTTCGATCGATCGAATCTTGGATTTGGATCGATCGAACTTGCTGCTTTGCTTCATTTTGCTTCTTTCTTCCTCCACTTTGCTCCTTTCTTTGTTTAATCTCAGAATTGCTTCAATTAAGCTCTTATTTGGCTAAGTTAGCTTATTTTCGGGATAAGTGCCTGAAAATGAAAATAATACGAAATCAATCTAAAACGGTAAAGTAAGATAGATAAAGGTACTAGAATGCCTAAGCTTAAGGGGTTTAAATACGCACTTTTTAGTACTCATCACACCCCCAAACTTAAATATTGCTAGTCCCTAGCAATGAACTAGAAAGAAAAGATATGAAATAAACAACTATACAAGTATGAACTAGAAAACAATAAATGGATAACGCCACTTTCGTAGGGAACACGATTGCATTTAGCATATGCAACAAGCCTTTTAAACCCCTAGGTTACCCCTAGTGGACGAGTGAAGTCTCGTGAGGGTTTCCAGAAATGATACCCACAAACATTAAGCTCATTCTTTCAAAAGAGGTACCAATATTGCAAACAAGCATTGGGAGAAAACTATCTCAAGTATGCAATTTTTCAACCCTTTCTAATCCATCTCCCAAAATCTCAACATCAAACAAGCAAGTATGGTCCTCCACACATCAAGAAAATGATCATACAAATCAAAACAACTCTAGAATTCTTTTGAGTGGACCGGCATCAATGTGTTGCTATCTTAGACAACTAAAGAATTAATCACATCCTTACCCTCAAACTAGCACACAAATCTAGTACCGATTATCAAGACAAAAAGTGGACCTTTTATTAAAGCTTTATTGTTCTAGGTGCGCTTGTTCTTTTCACTCGATTTTTTTTTTATTTTTTTTAATTTTTTTTTTTTAAAAGGATCAAAGATGGAAGCATAGTGCAATGTGTTGATCTCTTAAGCTTTCTAGTGATTCATGAG